CGTAATAATCAAGTAAATGTGAAAAATTGTAAAATAATATAGGCCTAATTTGTTATACATATGTATTATCTAAGATTTTATTAAACATTTTTTTCTAAATTATTGTTTTCTTTAGTCTCCGGCCCCAATTAAAAATTATTTGTGTGTATTTATATGCGAAATTATACCCTGACTTACGCGGTTACCACTCGGTCCCACCTATCGCGTAAATTCGGGGTATTACTGTATAAAATTTTGTTATTGTTCTGTTCTATATTTTAAACTATAAACATATTTCTGAATATTATTTGAAAGTTTCAAATTTGTTATAATTAAGCAATAACATTTATTTTTAAGTAACAAAATTTATTTTATAACAACTTTGAAATCAGTTATTCAATGATTACCAGATAAATAATATCTGTTTACAATATCAACTAACAAAATATTTAAAACATAACTTGAATGTACTGTATGTAATAATCAAATAATATCTGAGAGGAAAAGTTCAATAAGTAAAACTTTCCAGATCAGCTATCAAAACAGGGTTTAAATATCCTAACAACTTCATAGCTCGAAAAATCACAAATGATATTCCAAAACTGATATGGTCAAATTTGTTCCTAAAAGTTGTTCTCAAACCAAAACAAATTTTTCCATAAGAACAATGTAAAATGGATTATCTGACCCCNATTTATTTATACAGTAATAATGTCTGTTTCAATTCGAATAAACCCAACTTTCTTTAAACTATCAAAGCATTTTTTGAATATAAAATTAAAATGAAAAAACTCAAAGCAGCCACAATAACGATATATTTTAATCTATTAGATTCATATTTGTGCAATTAATTTCACTTTATTTTTAATGGTAATAATGACACTTTCATTTTAAATATATTTCTCGTGTTAACTGTATTCATACAAGTTTTTTACACTAATAATAATTAGTTGGTAGTTTCTTACAAGTCAGTAGAAAAAAATTAAGTTTAACCGTTAATTGTAAACATTTCCATGAACTATAAATCACTTGAGATGGACCCTAACGTTGTTTTGAAGATCGTCATTAGTCTCAAACCTCTGCCCTCCTAACCACTTTTTCTGTTCTGAAAAGAAATTGAAGTTGGTCGGCGCTAAATTGGGGCTGTACACTGGGTGTTTAAAGGTGGTGAAGGCTTCCATCCAGCTTGGAACTTTTTAATTAATATGTGAAGACTTCCACCTCTTTCGTGAACTGAAAATGTGGCTAGCAGGGCAGAGGTTTGAGACTAATCACGATCTTCAAAACAACATTGTTAGGGCCATCTCAATTCACTGGAGGCAACATTCTATGACAAGGGGATGGAAAAGCTAGTCCACAGATATGACAAATGCCTCAATCTTCACAGTGATTATGTCAAAAAGTAACCATGTTTGTACCTAACTTTTGGTAATAAATTCATTTTATATATAGTTACAATTTTTGTGATAACTCAGGATGTATTTTCGTCATAATTGAAGTTTAGGCTATTTACAAAAAGTCAAATTAACTTTTGAGTCCATCGTTATCCCTTATACACTACCACAGAAGTAACAGTCTTTAAAAAAAATTGCTTTGAAGAACTCTTCTTAAATACAGGTAAAAATTGGTAAAAAAGTTCACAAGGTTAAAAAAGATCAAGTGTCAGCCTTTTCTTGTAGGTTCTGACACTTCTACAATTAAAAACACAAAGAAATTCTTCACACTTCCCAATTTTATCCACCTTTTAAACTGCTTCTAGCCCTCTAGCGGTAGTTACGAGTATCTACATTATTTGCATATAGTTACAATTTTTGTGATAACTCAGGATGTATTTTCTTCATAATTGAAGTTATATGCAAATAATGTTAATTTGATTTTTTGTAAATAGCCTAAACTTCAATTATGAATTCATTTTGTTGTTTACACTTGTCTTTTGTTTTATGGACCATTGGAGCTTGAAAAAAAATCACCCTCATAAAATGAATATCAAATTAAAACACAAAACAACATACAGTAGTAACATTAAATATTTCATTTGGTCTAAAAAAAACTAAGAAAAATATTCAATAAATAAAAATATTAAAAATGACTGGTTTTATTACAAATAAAATTTTGTTCTTAGATTCAAAAATTCAACAAATTTATGACATAAAAAAAATCATTTTTACATCATAAGTTATAAACTATTATGGTTCCTGTAAAATGATGTATGAGGTGTATCTTCATCTGAGGAGTTTTCATATCTATCATTTTCTTCTGCACAATTCAGCAATGATTCTGAATCATAATCCAAAATTTCTTGATCTGTTAGATGAGAATCTCCTTCTACAAATTGTGCAAATCTGTTTAATAGATATATTTGTAAAAGTATCAGTTTATCAAAATAAATTTTGTTGATTTAAAAATATTAATAATTACATAAAAATGTAATATACAACATTTCACATGTACAGAATCTCCCAAAATAACTTCTGCAACTAAATGCTGATTTATGTGAATGTCTTTATTCATGATCTGCCAATTATTGACTTGTCTTCAATTGAGATTATTGGTAAGTATTTTAATACTGTTTTGTTGTTCTGGAAGCTTGCAGAAACTACACCCAAGTAAAAGTTATTCTGGGGATACCCTATTTCTTGAATAGCATATTATGTAATAGACATTTGTTTAAGAATCTGTATACTTTTTCTGGTCACTTCTTAAAAGGCTAACTTGGTTTCTGCAGATGTTAAAATGGGTGTATCTTCCAGAATGTCTGATAAAAGCAAGCATTTTGTGTAATGTCTAACAACATATTGGCTTATGGTATAAAACAAAATAGTTAAATGTTTCTGCAATTTTTTATGATTTAACTGCTTTGAATGTGAATTATTTGATTAAAAAATTAGTCTTTTTAATAAATATGTTTCAATTTTAGCAAAATAATTTCAGTAAGTAATTTTTGTAAACATCACAAATCAGCAAAAAAATGTATATTTTACATTTTGACTTCAAGAATATTTAATGGCTGTAAAATATAAATAAAATAAAATACAGAAACAACTTAAAATTACTAAAGCAGTGGTCACACCGTGTGATTTCCAGCCATGCAGGTGACTGCAACTGCAACAAGCATGAGTCACGCACGTCTTCTCATGGTCACACATTGTTCATTGGCATTGCAACTCGGAAACATGTGACCCTATAATAAACCAATAAAATTACAGTAGATTGTTTTTGACTACTTTCATCAGTTTACTGATGGTTTACATTCTATTTCAGAGTGTTTATGGAATTTTAGCCACCTTTCTTATTAAAAGGGCAAGCAATTCCTTTTCTGAAATGAATAAAAGAAAAAAGGCAACCATTTTGATAGAGCTGGTGAGAATACACAGAGATAAAAATCTTTGATAAAATGAAAAATTAAAATCCCACAGGCATTTGAGAGCCTGAATAAGCTGAATCAATCTTGATTCTGTAAAAGTATCAATCCTCTAACTTTCTACCATGATGATGAACTATTTTCAATGTTGCCACCATATGATGTAGCACAAAGGCATTTGTATTTGTTGATTGGACGTGCATTTGCAATTGGCACAAGCAGAGCAACCTTTTTGTTTCTAGTTGTGGTTGCAGTTGCGCCAGTTTTTGAAAGGGGTTTACTAGTTAACAAGAACAGCAGTCATGGTTTCAGTTGCCTGCCCAGCTGGAAGTCGCAAGATGTGACCACAGCTTAATATTTTTCATCCAAAGTCAAAGTATGGGTCTTCCCAAAAATTTTTCTGACTATTTTATTAGATTATGATATTAATGATATTTTATAACTAAAAATAACAAAAACAAATGTCATGTAATAAATATACAACTCAAAAATCAAACTGCATAATTATTTTTATTTACAGATATTTGAGTTGAAACTTAAAATAAATCTTTAAGCTAGCAATAAAAAAGTAACATTGGCAACAATGCAGCATAATTTTATTTTCCACTATGTTCGTTGTAAATAGACTATACAGACTGTGTATCAGAAATATAACAATCAGATGGCCAAGACAATTAAGGTGTCAACCTACCATTCTGGGAGATTCGGGACTGAATCCAGATGAGCAACCAAGGAAATTTCCATAGGCATTAAATCTTGAATATATTGATCCATCCTCTCAATATCTGGCTGCCCTCATTATGAGTCTGGCCAAACCTATGATGGGTGTAAATTATTATTTTGGGAGTGGACAGAAAAACAAGAGACTTCTGGTTTGTTAAATTTGACTCAAGTGTGATCCAGTCATAAACCACTTACAGTTGCAGAAATACATAAAAAAAGTAAACAATTGAGAGGATAACTACCCATGTTTAGGTCAGATGAATATAAAAAAACACTTCTCCTGGCGACCAAAGCTTTCTGATTGATTGAAAGTTGTTCCCAGAAACACTGAAATTGGAGAGAAGGTTAAAGAGAATGTGGAGGTGTGGAGGGTAAGGCTTGGAGCTGATAGCACTTGGATCTCAGATACTCAGCAAAACCCACTGAGAAAAGGGAGAGATTACACTCCTCTGGAAAGAATGATCAGATATGGTGAGGTCAGATCAGATGAAAAGTGCAAACAAAACCAATCCATTGTCCTGAAATTATCAAAGAGACATTGAATTCCTGACTGTTTCAGACTATCCTTGATTCATTACCATGCTCGAGTCTGACTCGAGCAAGTCCCATAGCGTTACGAAAAATCGGTCTTTTAGGCCCTTCTGGAAAATTTTTTTTTTTCAATTTTTGGAATGTTTTTTAGGTCCCCAAATTTTTTCAAAATTTTTTCCCGTGCAAAAAAATTTTATCGCGATTTTAATTTACCTTTAATGACACACAATTCATGCTTTATTGCTTTTTAATTGTTTTTTAATGGGACTTTTTTATCAAATTTAATTAATCGTTCTAAAGTTGAAGTGCACGGATTTGACTTCGGTAAAGTTATTTAAAGCTAGTTTCTGATATCAAAAACGACCTCCAATAGTTTTTTAATTTTTTAATTAATAGATTTTATTATATAGCCTATAAGTTTAATTAAGTCAGGGGGAATCGGAAATCGCAATAAAAATTTTAATTTTTTAAAAATATAGGTCTAGCTAGTATTCACCCTACTTTAAACACTTCTCCTTCTGAGACGTCTATGAGAATGCCCCGGGAAATACGACTCCAGTTGTTTTCAAGGTCATCCAGCTGTGTAAACAATGACTCATCAGTGTCAAATTTCGCAGTAAGGCGAGACAAGGGTTGTTAAACTTTGAACCTTTTTCTTCAAAATTAGCGCATTTCTTTTGTTTTTTTCCAGTTTTAAGTATTTTTTATGCTTAATTAAAAATTCTAAAAAAAATGGGCAGGTCAGAAGCGGTTAATGTATCACTTGGTATATTGTAGTGACAGATAAGCTGTGTAAATTTCCTGTAAATAAACTATATATACTGAATTGAGTTGAGTGTAGAGGTGTATTTCTAATAAACCTGCATTATGAACATCTCAGGCCATGCTTACTCAATACATCCACTTCAGGAGACAGAATATAAAGAGGAACTTTTGCTATGGGTTTGGAAAAAGTGTTTTTAATGTCCATAGAGCAAAGAGAGCCAGATGAAAGATTTGAGCTGGAGTATATATCAGATACACCAACATATCACCAACTAAACAAATTGCAGAACACAAATATGACATAAAAAGAAGAAACAAACCACTGTTCTTTCCATATATGACTCCAAAACAGGAGTAAAACCAAACTTTGACTGAGCAAGTCTTAATGGATACACCATTCAGTCAGAGCATGCTAAAACAAGGGATACTCTGGAGATTTACAAAGCAAGATGGAGAGAAGAATGCCTCAATTTTAAAGAGGGAAAAATTTTAAGTGTGTGGTAAACTTTTTTGATGATCCAAATGGGAACCAAGAAAATGGATCTCATTAATCACGAAAACATACATGTAAAACCTACATAAATTTATATATCTGTTAAAATTCATAAATATCTATATAACATCAATTTATATTTGTAAATAGTTAAACTAAGAACATTGAACATGATTTTGAACTTCGTCATTCATTCAAAAGTTTGAAGTTTTATATCATTCTTCTTCAAATTCCAAAATAAAATGGAAAGTTTAAGAGCTGAAGCAGATCTACAATTAGATCAAAAACATTTGTCCACATCCACATGAAAAATTCAACTCCTGCTGATGTTAAAATAAGGTTTTTGGTGAGTCAATTAAACAATCCAGCTTATAGATGCAGAAGTATAGTTATTTATGAATTTAACATTGTTATATAATCAGATTCTGAAGCAAATATCTAATACAGAATGCTAGCACTTCAAGAAACAGATAAGTTCTTGAAATGGCAAATTTTAGCATGTGACTATGACATACACACTTTTTTCATTTTTGATTCTTTCCATCCTGTGGGCACTAAGTGAGCTTTTTAATCATATCCATCATGGATTCAGCCATGTCCATAATGAAGATAGCCAGGTAGTAAAATAATGGCCCAACATATCCAGGACTGACTACTCCCAAAAAAATTTCTGAGGGTTTTCAACCACCTGGATTTATACTTGAATACCCAGAGTGGTAGGCTGAAACCTTAACTGTCTGATACATCTATCATCTACATTCATATTAATGTAAAAAAAGTTTATAACACTTATTTGAGAATATTGTTTTTTGTATATAGTTCAATGTTTATACGTTAATAAGCTCTCTAAATTTTAATCGTCTTTTAAATAGGTTATTCCATTCAAACAACATAAAAAAAATTTAATAGAAAAGAATGAGCAAAAAATAACATAGATAATTTATAATAATCTGATGATATTAAGTTTACATCAATCAATATTAATTCAAATTTCTGTTTTTTTATTAAACTTTTAAATAGTAAATTATTAGCATTTCATTATTTTATTAGAAAAATGTTAGGTGCAGTTCTTATGCTAAACTATAAGCTATGTAATAAAATGTTAATATACATATTTTAAATTTAAATAGATATCTTTAATAAAAAAAAGCAGAAAACACACTTTCCTAATTCAAAATTTCAGAATTAAAGAGCAGAATTAAACTTATGCTATTTTAAATTTTGTAAGGCAACATTAAAAGTTATAAAAATCTGCATTCCCACTTCTGAATATTGAATATTAATTGAATATTGTTATTATAATAAAAGTCTGGTTTTCATATTGTTGGTAGAATAATCATGAGATGCTGATCTTTTGTTATATTTTTATTCAATAACATTAAGACTAACTTAACTATATACATTATGGTACACTATAGAACAACAGTTGCCAACCTTTTTCGGGTGGCGACCCCTTTTTATAAAAGCCA